ATTACAACTGTTCCAACTGTTGCTTGAATTTTATTTGTTTGTTGTTATTTGTATTTTTCCTTTTTTTCTGTATAAAATAAATTCAAAAGTTGTGAGCAAGCAATTAAAATCTTTCCTATAAATTACTTTATCTAACATTAAAATTATAAAATATGTGATAAATTAAATATTAAATCTTAAATATGAAAATATATATTTTAGTTCCAGATAGGATAATCATTTATATTTATATTACAGTTTACAACAAAAAAAGGAGAGAGAAAAGTTATATGATTTAATTCCAATATTTCACGAATATGAAAAATATGGATTACGATACCAAGTGCTATTTCGATGAAACGGAAAAAATTTTCTTATAAGTGATAAAATTGCTGCCTACCATTTTTATATTTACTACGCTATAAATGAAAACAGAAGGATATATTTAAACGTATAATAAATGTAACCAAGAGACAGAAAAAAATCAAAGAAATATGATTGATCACGATTATTATCGTAAATAACGATCATTCGCTAGCATACTATTTATCGCACTCGTCGTTCCGGAAATTCATTTGATTCGCTTGATCCATTTTCGATATCCAACAAACTCAATAAACACGAAATGACGATGTACTCTGTCGGAAACAAAGTATACAGGAAGTATACACACAATCGGGGTGAGATATCGAATTTTTTAATTGACAACAGAACAACCATTTGTTTGTTTTGGTTGCGTACAGTATTTCTTTTTTTATTCCAATTCCCAATTTGCGCACATTTTTAGACGAAGGTCAGTTTATGGATCGATTTCTCACCTCGGACAAGAACATCGCGTTTATACAGCTTAATGTATTTTGCGATTCATACAAAAAATCACCCACTTATCACTTTTAAAAATATCCTCTTCCGTCTAAAGCTAAGTTTATGTGTGACATTTATCGTATGACATTTCTCATTAGCACATTCTTTCTTTCTTACTAATATAAGAAAATGTTACTCTATTTGACAGAATTTTTTTCTCGCGCTTACATTTGCTTCTACTACTGTCAGATACACGCTAAATATTACATGTGAATCTAATTTTAAAGGTACAAAATATAATAAAACAATTTCAAACTATTAATTACCAAAAAAAGAAAAAAATGTAATATCATTTAATTTAACATATTAATATTATATGCCAGTGACAAATGTAAAACATACCATTCAAATATACGTTAGAAAAACAATTACAAATATAACAAATATAAATTATGTTTGCCTAATTTACTTTTTATTATTCTGATATTCTATTGTCATTATATTATATTTTTTAATGGACCCAGTGTAGCAGTTATATACGATTTAAATTAATTATACGTATAATGCATTGTTGTCACATTATTCAATAGATATATAGCGCAGTAATTATGCAGGATTTGTATAATTAATATAAATCCTGAATAATTGCTACACCTCTATTTGATAATATACGATACAATATAAAACGATACAAAACGTGAATTCACGCAATAATAGCGTGTCGTTATATTGCGAGATTGATAATAAGCCCCGTATCTAGCTTAGAAAGATGCTTAGAAAGTCAGAAGAAACGCTCAAAAATCGCGCTTAAATAAGAAAATTCAATAAAATCGATAGAACAATTCTCTCTCACATCCAATTTTGCAGTAAATTATAGATGTAGATTAAAAGATGATTCGTAGGTTAAAGAAATAATATCTAATCTTTTGCTAGAAATTTCGAAAAAAAGACGTGAGATATATCGAATACATGCACATCATTACCTTGTTTCTTGTTACACAATTTTTTTTCAGATTCAGGTATCAAACTTTTTCACATCAAATTAATCCCAAACAATATCCCGACAACTTAAAAATGTTTTTTCACCCTTTAGATACCTTTAAAATGTTTTTTAATCTTTTTGTGCTGTCTGGGATACTTGACAAGACTGCGCTTAATTCGGATTAATTAATTTTTATTAAAGCGAATATGGCCACTAATGAATGCATATTGAAAATCTTATCAAATGATTTAATAACTCGAGACCGTCTCAAATATTATTCTGGTACTTCTGTAATTCTATATTCTGTATATCAGATAAGGAAATTAAAATCTCAAATAGAAAAATCTAATATCGAGTTATGTAACAATAAATATAGAATACTTGGCATAAAAGAAAGACACACAGGACAATAATATAACACAGTATGATGGAATAGCAAGATAGAAGTCTATAGTCAAGAAAAAGAAAAGATTACAGAAATAGCTCAGTTTAAATAAATGTGAAAACAAAGAAAGATATATAATAAAATAAATGTATCACTTTGTTAAATGATAAATGCTGCAAAACATGATGTGCGAGATAAATAATTCAAAAAATACATATATACACATATATCGAACGTAGAAAATTCACAGAAATGTAGATTTGTTAACTCGGCTAAAAGGTCAATCACAAAGATAAAATCATTGTGCAAGTTGTAGAACCGTAAATGAATGGGTTAAATATTATAGCAAACTATTCTTAGAAAATCAAGAAAAATATATATAAAGATTTAATTAATATACCTAAAGTAGAAATTCTGAAGTAAAAATGAAGCTACAACATTTACTCTCAAATTTAGTTCTCCTTGTATGTAATATCAGAAAAAAATATCTAATATTCTATATGATAAGAGTATAATATATGATAAGTATATTCAATTATATTTGTATTTTTCTCTATCTTGCGCGCAATATTGTCTTCTTTAATATATATATGTATTAATTTAATATATTATTAAAAAAAAAGAGAGAGAAAGAGAATATAATAATTTTTTTTTTAATTATTGTTTTTATATTCTCATATATATTCTTTTGTTTATTACGTCAGGTTGTTGAAACAATTAGTACTTTACGAAAATAATTTTCCTGTTTTACACATTATTGATACATATGTATATACTGATGCATACATAGTTTTTTCAAAAGTATATTAATCCTTAAGCTTTACCTACGACACACATGCATTGAGATGCTCCGGCACAGATTTTCGCGAGAATAAACCGACATTTTTAGAATCCATAGAATATTTATACATACGGGAAAAAGGGAAATGTGCCTGACCAATAATCGATATTTCCTGCTAGAATGGCGTTATGAACAAAATCTCACTGTAAAGAGAAACACCCTCAACGAAATTTTTTAACCAAAGAATCCCTTGATCTTTTTTTATCCACCCATATCTGAACAATCTAGCAAAAAAAAATATTTTTCAATATTTAGAATTTAATATCTGGAAAATTAAAAATTCTTATATATAAGAACATAAAGTCTATTAATTAATGTAATTTAATACTAATGTATTAATTAAATGTCTATTAATTCATGCTTGGTGTAATAATTAATTTTATAAATCATTCTATAAGAAAAATGCATCCAATTTTTCTTATTTCCATTGAAATCTTTAAACTATATAAAGAGGATATATATATCTGAGAGAAACTCCCTATCTATATAATTAATATTATCTCTTATAAATAAATAATTTTGTTCATACAGAGTTTTGCATATTATGTCGCCATTAAAAACTTCAAGGAAAATGATAAGAGCGAAGATAAACAACGTCGCGTTATTCGCGTCTTCAACGAGACGTTGTCGAAAAAAAACTCGACCTCGATTTTACTTACATCTTGTTGAGATGACGCTTACTCTTTTTTTCGCTTTCCTCTATCTCGCTGGCGGATGAAAACTCAGCAACAGATTGCTCCCCTGTGTAGCGCAGCTTTGCTACATCTCCAAGACGAGCTGGGCGTTCGCGTTCGTGTAAGTACGACAGTTCATTCAAATAGGCAATCGAGTTTGCATCCACCATCTTCCGGCGCTTCGTTCGTTAACACGCAATCTCCTCCTCGACGGAGAAACTATCATGCGAGAAGAATCGTTTCTTCCTTCTCTCGATTGGCAACGAAACGATCCCGCCTTGTTGCAATTAATTTGGCGTTACATATTGCATCCGTTGCGATCTTCCCGGAAATTCCCGCTAGACTTAATGAAAATTTGTTAGCTCCATATTTTTGGACCAACAACTTTCATCTCTAGGATATGCGAGATTCGAAATTATTTACGTCTTAATTAATGGCATAAAATTTGGAGTATATTTTAAATCTATTTCAAGTTTATTTCAAAACAGCAGAATCCATGATCAATTTTATAAAAAAAAATTAACTATAAATTTATAATATTCATAGCTTTTATTGTTTTAGGAAAAATATATAGATTGTAATGATATTACTACAAATTTTGTGTTCATGCTGATACTTATTATTTTTATCATCAAAAAGCAATTTCATTAGTTTTTTCACTTTAGGTTTTTTAATTGCAAGCAATTAATTTCATCTCATAGATTATCGTCCCTTGTGCATTTCAATATAGAATAAAAATTAGGCACTTTACTTGATTCATATGCAGCAGAAAAACTATTCTGGTGTAATATCATTACTTTCCTCCATAATGGAAAGCTTAAAGGGAAACGTGCGCTACTATACTTGCTGGATTTCGATAAGTCTTAAATATATTGTAGAACAACTCGAAATGCAAAAAATATTTTATATTTATATACGTGTTATTGCAGATTTAAATATTTTCTTCAAAATTTAATATCTCCTAAAATATAAATCTAGTAATATTTGCTTTTAAAAAAATCGTTAAAAATTGTGTCTCTCGCACAAAGTTAATAGAAATAAAAATTTTCAATTACATATAGAATTTAATGTCAAATTCCATTAAAGAAATAACCTGAAAATGTAGATGCTCAGACCGAATAAGAAGACGTTCATTAAAAAAGATAAATTTTCATGATTGCGTTTTATAATTGCAGCCATAATATGAAATTCTATATGATGTTCACGGTTTGTATATCATGTGTGATTTCTTGGTCCCTACTTGCTTAACTGGAACACGAAAGAGCGAAGAGAATTTAACATGAGGATAGTACCAAAAGTCACGAGATACGTAGATCCAGGATTGTCATAATCACATTCTTATACTATTTCATTCTTTTATTTCTCCTTTTTTATACTTATATATACGTATATACATGTACAATATAGTAATTTCATATCGCGGCACAGTCTTACACGCTACCTAATACCGCTCAGATTCTACTCGTTGAATTCTCTCCAATAAATGGGTTCTGAGTCTCGAATATCATAATCAAATGTTTCCACGACACGCGTTGCAACTTTTAGTCGAACTATTTCTCAAAGAATATCAAACCATATGCAATTCGCTGGAAAAAACCCCTTCTCTCTTATCCAATCCATAAATGTATGTACTATGTATTAATACATAAAATATTTTATACATATATATACCTAAATTCGATTGGTCAAGATGTCTTCTATAATTGAATTAAAAGAAATACTTTGATAAATTACTCCATCGTTATGAATAGCACAAAGATGTTTTCTAATATATCATAAATATGATTTGAAAAAAAAATGATTGGATCATAATCAACTACATATTATTTTTTCTACCTTGTATATCCTATATTCTTTATTATCTTACAAATAAAATTTGAAATGCTAATATCAAACTCTAAATTTTACTGTGGTATTTACGGAAACTTTATGTTAAAGAAAAAGATTTCGCAGAAAACTTATGAAATGTTTATTTAATTAAAATTAAAATATTTGATCAAGATATAAGAAATTTGAAAGCCATCGTATACTAAACATTGTACAGCGAAATAAATATTTGGAGATTATATAAACTAGATATTTCATATCTAGAAAATAATGAAGAATAATGCTAAGCGAAGATTTGTGAACAATCAAAAGATTTCGATAAAAATCGAATTCTCCGTTAAAATCTGACGGAACTCAAATCTTTGAGTTCTATCAAATCTGTTCACTCGAGATTCGCTCCCTTTCGCGGCGAGTTATACTGTTTCTAATTTACGGAATAGAGCCTCTACTATATATATCACGAATCATAATCGACATATCGTCAATCTCGATGTTTTACACATAATACATTGGTGCAGGTAAATAAACAACCTTGCTCATATCCAAAAGTAATATACCTTCTAAGACTCACAACATATAAGTGCATTTTATATAATATCAGCGCAAAATATATATATATGTATATAAATGCAACTCAAAGAACGATTTTGCGAAAACCTGAATATAATTAAAAAGAAACATATAAATGTTGGTATTTTGAAGACTTTAATATATTAACGCACATTTGTGAATACGTTTATATATCCTTTTCTGCATCTGAAAATCGGTCCCAATATGTCTTAGAAATCAATATATATTAATCAGAAAATACAGTTTAATTCTATTTGACAGTATAGACAAACGCATATGGTAATCAGTCATTGTAATTTTAACAACCACAAAGACTCAAAGTGAAATAATAAATAACTTTTTCAATATTTTTTCAATGAATTCTATACATTGCAACAAATATTTGTTTGGGCCCAATTTTGCATGTGTATATTGTGATTAAATGAACGTAAAATTACGTCGTAAATCGAGAAATTCAATAAATGTTACGTCGAGTGTCTGTGAAATGTGTGTGTGTGTGTGTATGAATGCACATAAAAAATAAATCTGAATGATATATACCGTGGAAAAGGATTAAAAATTTGTGCCATCATAAAATAAGTTCAAAGTTTATAGTCACTCTCTACGTGAGACTCTCTTACATTAATATATCTTGTAACATTCTCTACTATCTTACAAGTTTGATTTACCTGAATGTCTTTATTTGTACAGAGTAAATGGAAGTAGGCGATTTACTAATATAATCGCGAAACGATTACGGTACACACATCACCGCCTCACATTAATAGAATCTCCCAGCTAGCAAGATTTGACACGCTGCTCATTGCAATCGTCATCATCATAATCATTTGCATATAATACTTGAAAAAGCTGGTCTTTTCCAAGAGGCAAACTTGAAAAAATCGAAAATATCGTTTATTTGTTTCTCTGCGATATATCATATAACGATAATACCTTCACTTGATATATGGAACTCCGTTTCATGAATTTTAGCAACACCATTCGTCTCATTTACATAAAATTAGCCGTTTCAATGAAAGACGAAATATAGATAAATTAAATTTTATCAAACGCACATTATGGATTATCTTGTCCGTCTTCTACTATGTAACGTCGCATGTTGATACGCATAATTCGCACCCGAGGATATAACGTCATTATAAATCAATCCATTGCGGACGCAGATCGAATAGCGTACAACGCACTAACAATAACAATTATAATTCGCTTCATCGCCCCAAAATTATTTTTCGACGGCCGTAAATAAAGGAAAAGTATCAAGTCGTGAATGTTGTTATCTCTTGAAAAATTTCGGCAATAATAAATTTTTCACAATATGTAATTTTTCAATGCTATTAAAAAATTATAAAAGTTAGATGTATGTGCTTTTTTTAAAGTAGAGAATTAATTCATCATTTGTCTAGTACTAATAAATATCATTTCGTAAAAATAGGAAATTCCGTTAAGACACGAGAATTATATATCGCATTATCTCGATCATTCTTAAAAAAAGTCTTCGACATTATATATTTTTATGATATAACGAGAAATTAATACGCGCTTAAAACTCGATATCTATCTCGTCTATTCAGCACCGTCGGCATTCTTTCAAACAATCGCTAAATGTTATCCGCTACATGATAACCTGTTGCAACAAAGATTATAATCGCGATGAATTTTTCGAATCTTTCATCATTCTGAATATGCAAATAATTATTAATAATATTAATAAGCAAAGAAATAAAAGCAATTATTGTATTTTGTAATGCATAATAATCAAAGAATCTGAAAAAAATTTGGTATTTTCTATTTAAATAATTCTAAACATAGCATAATAAAAATGACTAGAAAAATTAATGCTTAATTATATAAAATAATACTAAATGAGGAAACTGGCAAAAAGAGCCAACGCGCGGTTATCGGTGCGCAAACTTTTTGTTGTTAAATTTAGTAATAAATATGCATCAAAAATGGACATTTTTAATTCAAATAACATTTCAAATTCAAATATGTATGCATAGAAATATTGTTCAGAAATAACAATAATTGAGTATTAATTTGTTCAGGTATATAATAAATGCTTTCTCTTATAATATCTTCCGTTTTTTTGTTTGAGAAAAATCTTTTTCTCTCTTTCTTTTGAAACTTTCTTTATCAGACATTTATCTTTTTATTCCGCGAGAAACGATTATACAGAAAGGAAAAAATACTTGAGTTTTGTTCTTATTTGAATAATTTAGCAAATGCATTTCTTTTGTAACGTACGAAATGGGACTCATTGTAAATTCATAACAAAACTTTGCTTCCATCATATTTCGACGAATCTTTCTTTCCTTCTTTGGAAGTCGATAGATCGAAAACAATACGAATTGCTTAGCACACTCACGTTCCACTTTACAAAAAAAAAAAAAAAAAAAACGCTTACAGAAGAGAAATAAGAAAAAAAATTTTAAACACAAAAGAAAAAAGCATTACCTTGTTCATGCTCTTAAAAACCTGATGAAGAATTGTTACAAGTGACACGTATCCAACGTACCGTTGTTTGAATAGCGCGTTTGACATCGTGTCAGGTTGTAAGTACATGCATTCAACAAGACTGCCCGACCACCGAGAATAAAGCTAGTTAGCTGTTTAAGTTTATGCCGAAAGGATACTTTACGACAATAGTGTTAGTGTGTTTATATTATTCTTTTAAATCTTTGCACAACACAAACTGCTTTTTATGAATACTTTCTATTGAAAAAAAGATATCCGTATCTAGCACACCATTAATTAATTTAATCCAACTAGTGATAAGCATTCGGTCTGACCATACATTAGCAGTGATCACTCGGACCGACTATTTACTAGTACTAACTACTTAACGCGCGTACCAGACAGTACCGGAGACTTTCTTCAAATGATGATCTCGATAATTGGGATTTTCCTTTAATTTTCCTCCACGTCAGACGCGAATAAGAAAAAGGCGAAAGTTATTGTGCATCATTTGCGTTCGATCAATTTTAAGATACTTCCATTTGTGTCAAGTCTGTTTCCTTGCATTTTATCGTCCGTCATTTCCGGTGATATTTATCACTAACATGTAGCCTGACACTGTTGCTCTTTTAAATAGTCAAGTCGCGTACGTTCGCAGATATTTCAACATCACTGAGCCTTCGCCCGGATCCGCTTTCCTCTTGCGCCCTTCATTCGCCGTCTTCTTTCGCGTCTACTAGCAATGAAAAACGCCTGACATTGGCGTTTTTCATCTCGTGGATATATGTGAGACTGCTTTTTAATAAACGTCTCTCCCTCGCAACAATCTCTGAGTCAGATTTTTGTCGGGAAGGACAATTTTAGACGCTGCCGTCGGCACGTTTCGATTATGAAAAACGTCGTATTCAGAGAAGTTTTCGATTCTATCTGTGCAATTGTCAATCAAATTCATATAGAATTAAATATTTAATTATACGTGAAAGACATACAATATGATTAAACAAATTCAACGAAATATCTTTGATTTAAAACAAATATTTTTTAGCTGTTATAATTCGATGTTGATTTGCTACTTATAATTTTGCACTACGCAATTTTAACAGGATTATCAACAAATGACATTTAAAGATCCAACATAGTCATAATTGACGAGTTCATAATTCTCTTTAATACGTTTATAATTTCTTGTTATCAGTATTAATCAAGTGTCATTTCAAATAAGGGTTCTATCGAAACACGAAAATCTATCCGTTGCCTTATCCATCCTTCTCATTCTGATAAAAGAGCCCATTAAAGTGAAAGGAACTCAAGAATTAATGATTCAGAGAAGGCTGACGATGTTGGTACTCTTAGAAATAGAACGCTCCAAATTCCTAGTTATGTCGACATTGATTAATTATAATGTGATAACTTCGGGAAAATTTCTAGCGAGATGAAATTAATTAAGGACTTCGCGAGACGAACGTTCGACGCTTTCCAACTTTTCCTACCAACTTTTGCTAAATCCGATATTATATATCGACTTCATTATATGTGCAATCAACGAAAAAGTCTCATTTGTCATGCGTTACGCGCTCACACGTTAAGCACACAACAAGTGTTCTTACATTTCTCCATTTTCGCTTCTACCTAAACCATTTCAAGTACCTGAGGAAGTCTTTTTCTCTGTGTTTGCCGCTTCGTTTTAAAGGATGCGAGTCATCGACGACGATCAGATCAACCGCAAAGTACACTTTACTCGCGGTTATCGGAAAAGACTGCTAACGAAGCTCTTTAATCGCGCACAAAGATGAACTCATTATAGTGATTCCAGCGATTCTCCTCGGAATCCACGCCGGGTTTCAGCTGCTCGGAGTTGCTGCCGGCAGTGCCAGAACCACAACTACCCGCCATCCTGAAGCCCTGCTCCTGCAGCATGTCGAAGGCCTGCTCGATGACGCTGTGCTTCAGGAAGAAGCGCGACGTGTAACGATCGGACATGCCGTGGTCGGGATCGCGACTCTCGTTTAGCGTCTCGCCGAAAACGTCCCGGCAGAGTGCCACGCGGCCGCATACGAGAATCCTTGAGAGCTTGCGGAACTTGACGTCGGCCAGGCCTTCGCGGCCGAAGGCGAAGCTGCCTCGGTAGCCGATAGTAATGTATCCTGGTACGCGTTTGCCGACCGCACCGCCGGTTTGCCCGCCAGAATCGGCGTTCTCCAAAATGGCCTTCTCTAAACCAGGAAGACCGTAGAAATTAGCCTCCTGCTTGAGCCTCTCGCGTTCGCGAAAGCCCTCGGGCAAAACCAATGCTTGATTGCGCAGGAAGTCCAATACGTAACGGAAGAGCACACCATCGCGATCCAGGAAGTACTTGCCCTTGGCATCTTTCTCCACGGCGGATTTGCCCGTGAAGAGTGTCGCAAGATGCGAGTCGCTCTCACGGGTCAGCGTGGTCAAGGCAGTAGTATAGAAGACGCCGCCCACATTCAACTCCACCACGCTCGGCATTGTTTCCTGTTGCTCTTGGTCACCCATGCTGCTTCCGGTTAACGCGACGCAAGAAAGAGAGAGGAAGACTATGATCAATTGGTCGCGTGGACCGACGGGAACGAGTCGTCTTCACCGATGGGATGATCAGAGACGTTATGTGCGGAGGACACCTGTAGTTGGAAAATTTCCAGGAGGATTAAAGATAACAAAGAGGATCACGATACGGAACTGCACTCCGTTCAATGAAACTCTACGCGACACTCGCGCAAGACGACCACAGGTCGACGACCCAGCAGATCCCAGAGTCAATCGTGATACGTTAAAGAAAATAGCTCTCCGAGGATTTCAACAGACGAGGAGCAACAGACTGATTTTAAAAGTCACTCGTACGTATTCGCACGTGAGAACACCTTTGGCGATGCTCTTTGAAAAGACAAGCTGATCGAATCCTGGTCACCTTAGAAGCACGTCGTTATTCGAAGCCGACTTGAGCACGATGTTGATACTCGTCCAACTGCTACTTGCTCGAAGAAATGAACGCGACGGTGAAGAGGGATAAACTGCGCCTACGGCGGAGCGATGACGAAGGCCGAGCTCAGCTCTCTCAGCTGCGCGCTTCCTCACCTAAGCGGTTGGCGCGCGTCAGGACGCACTCTCCGCTCGCTCCTCCGTGTCGCGAGGGTAACGTGATGGTAATGCTGCGCTGCCGACGCAACGAGAGCCCGCGCCGTGTGTCAACGCGCAGCCACCGATATCGCGCAACACAATCCCCTCGACACGCGCGCGCAACCCCTGAGAAGTCGCCACTCGATTCTCATCCTTGAAAGAGGCTACGTGTCGTGATAAGAGTTTTTCTAGGTTGTACTTACATCCAAGCCTATCCTGGGAAACTGCACTCCATTCCGTTTTCTGCGACTCTCTCCAACGACGGCGACTTATCCCAGCATATTCCATCGGATTCCGCTGCAATCCAGATTATTCCGATCCATATCCTGCTTTGCATGTTCTGATGCGTCTCAAATGGATTGGACCTAATAATCAAATAACAGATTTCGTGATTCTAAATGTGTATTCCAGAAGAGAAATGTAAACTACAAATGTGATGGAATAGTTGGAGTGCATCTTTAAGATTAATTTTTAAGATTACCTATTGTTCGGGTTTCCACGGATCGATGCTTCGTTACATTGTAACATACAGTCGTTCTCTTATTGCATTGTATCTCTCATCCGATATCTCATCGTCGTCTATCTGCAAATATTGAATAGGTAGCAATGTCAATATACAATGCGATTAATATTGTCGTGTAGACAACTATACATTATTCACACAACTACGCATTTGTTTTATTCCGATTGCTACTCTTTATTATTAAAAACACAATATTGATGAATTGAATTAAATAACATAGCTTTGTCATATAAACACAGAGAAGGATGTTTCTTATTTAATGGTGATTATAAAAAAAATCTGATTTTATATCTTTTTATAAGTAAAAGAGAAAAAAGTTGGTTTGTTTTTAGAAAAAAATGTAGCTTAGAGCAAACAGACCAAATACATTATAATATGAATCAATAACTACAGATAATCCGTGCAATAATTACATTTTCTTTATTTCATAATTATTTAACTTTCACAAAATAGATTAGATTATATTTAATTGTATTGTGTTAGCTAAGTTTAAACTCTACATTAAATTTTTATATTATTTTTTAATATATCATTTTGATTATTATTATATGGTATAAGAAAAATGTAAGAAAAAATAATAAAAAGAAAAAAATATATAAACAGCAAATTAAAAAAATAGCTGATCTTCTTAGAAAAATTTCAATGATGATGTTAAGACTTTAAACATCAACACATTTACATTTTTCTAACAAAAAATATATATTTTACAAGCTAAAATATTTCCAAAACTAATTGTAAGTGCAATAATTTATAAATTACAAAGTATTTTTTTAAATTAAAAAGTCTTTTTCTTTCAATATATTTATTCATTTATATGTATATTCTTGTTATTCTCAAGAATTTTTATTAAAAAATTATATTTGATTTTTCATCAAATTGTAATTTTTTCTTGTAACTGCATTTATCTTTATCTTAAATAATATTTTAAACAAGGAAATAAACGGATAAGAAACTTTGAAAAAATGCATATACTAAAATTGTATGATACAAAACATAAATCTTTATAAAATTCCCTCGGGATATCTTCCTTTATTGCGCAATATCGTAACATTTTCTCTTGTAAAAAAAGTACATTTTCTTGAAAGGTATGTGAGCATATGTATATCACAAGATGGTATAAATCTTTACGAGAAAACACATTATATCACGTTTAAAGATATCTATAATATTATACTATCGCCGTAAGATCAAATTTTAAAATGAAAAATGAAATGAATCATTAAATCTTTTCAAAATAAAGAAAATTTTTTTATGAGAACCAATATAATATTCATCACATACACACACATAGCTCGATCCCTTCTTGAATCCATTCGAAGCCATACAGTAACCATTCAGTAAATGAAATCAATTATCGAAAAGCAATATTGTTCAACAACTATATCTATCGCAAATTATCGATTGTAAAATCGAAATTGAAAAAAAGCATTAAAGAAAGGTAATAAAATCAGAGTAGATATAAACTTACATTACACTCCATGTCACGACGTCGATGTATGTCTTTACGTACGAAATTAGGCACTTTCGGGTCGAAAGCATCATGTTTAGATATCGTATATCGTACGTACATGCATTCGTCGTAGTGCATCATGTCTGTATATGTGTATTTCTTTATCAGACATTTATCTTTTTATTCCGCGAGAAACGATTATACAGAAAGGAAAAAATACTTGAGTTTTGTTCTTATTTGAATAATTTAGCAAATGCATTTCTTTTGTAACGTACGAAATGGGACTCATTGTAAATTCATAACAAAACTTTGCTTCCATCATATTTCGACGAATCTTTCTTTCCTTCTTTGGAAGTCGATAGATCGAAAACAATACGAATTGCTTAGCACACTCACGTTTAAAAAAAAAAAAAAAAAAAAAAAAAAAACGCTTACAGAAGAGAAATAAGAAAAAAAATTTTAAACACAAAAGAAAAAAGCATTACCTTGTTCATGCTCTTAAAAACCTGATGAAGAATTGTTACAAGTGACACGTATCCAACGTACCGTTGTTTGAATAGCGCGTTTGACATCGTGTCAGGTTGTAAGTACATGCATTCAACAAGACTGCCCGACCACCGAGAATAAAGCTAGTTAGCTGTTTAAGTTTATGCCGAAAGGATACTTTACGACAATAGTGTTAGTGTGTTTATATTATTCTTTTAAATCTTTGCACAACACAAACTGCTTTTTATGAATACTTTCTATTGAAAAAAAGATATCCGTATCTAGCACACCATTAATTAATTTAATCCAACTAGTGATAAGCATTCGGTCTGACCATACATTAGCAGTGATCACTCGGACCGACTATTTACTAGTACTAACTACTTAACGCGCGTACCAGACAGTACCGGAGACTTTCTTCAAATGATGATCTCGATAATTGGGATTTTCCTTTAATTTTCCTCCACGTCAGACGCGAATAAGAAAAAGGCGAAAGTTATTGTGCATCATTTGCGTTCGATCAATTTTAAGATACTTCCATTTGTGTCAAGTCTGTTTCCTTGCATTTTATCGTCCGTCATTTCCGGTGATATTTATCACTAACATGTAGCCTGACACTGTTGCTCTTTTAAATAGTCAAGTCGCGTACGTTCGCAGATATTTCAACATCACTGAGCCTTCGCCCGGATCCGCTTTCCTCTTGCGCCCTTCATTCGCCGTCTTCTTTCGCGTCTACTAGCAATGAAAAACGCCTGACATTGGCGTTTTTCATCTCGTGGATATATGTGAGACTGCTTTTTAATAAACGTCTCTCCCTCGCAACAATCTCTGAGTCAGATTTTTGTCGGGAAGGACAATTTTAGACGCTGCCGTCGGCACGTTTCGATTATGAAAAACGTCGTATTCAGAGAAGTTTTCGATTCTATCTGTGCAATTGTCAATCAAATTCATATAGAATTAAATATTTAATTATACGTGAAAGACATACAATATGATTAAACAAATTCAACGAAATATCTTTGATTTAAAACAAATATTTTTTAGCTGTTATAATTCGATGTTGATTTGCTACTTATAATTTTGCACTACGCAATTTTAACAGGATTATCAACAAATGACATTTAAAGATCCAACATAGTCATAATTGACGAGTTCATAATTCTCTTTAATACGTTTATAATTTCTTGTTATCAGTATTAATCAAGTGTCATTTCAAATAAGGGTTCTATCGAAACACGAAAATCTATCCGTTGCCTTATCCATCCTTCTCATTCTGATAAAAGAGCCCATTAAAGTGAAAGGAACTCAAGAATTAATGATTCAGAGAAGGCTGACGATGTTGGTACTCTTAGAAATAGAACGCTCCAAATTCCTAGTTATGTCGACATTGATTAATTATAATGTGATAACTTCGGGAAAATTTCTAGCGAGATGAAATTAATTAAGGACTTCGCGAGACGAACGTTCGACGCTTTCCAACTTTTCCTACCAACTTTTGCTAAATCCGATATTATATATCGACTTCATTATATGTGCAATCAACGAAAAAGTCTCATTTGTCATGCGTTACGCGCTCACACGTTAAGCACACAACAAGTGTTCTTACATTTCTCCATTTTCGCTTCTACCTAAACCATTTCAAGTACCTGAGGAAGTCTTTTTCTCTGTGTTTGCCGCTTCGTTTTAAAGGATGCGAGTCATCGACGACGATCAGATCAACCGCAAAGTACACTTTACTCGCGGTTATCGGAAAAGACTGCTAACGAAGCTCTTTAATCGCGCACAAAGATGAACTCATTATAGTGATTCCAGCGATTCTCCTCGGAATCCACGCCGGGTTTCAGCTGCTCGGAGTTGCTGCCGGCAGTGCCAGAACCACAACTACCCGCCATCCTGAAGCCCTGCTCCTGCAGCATGTCGAAGGCCTGCTCGATGACGCTGTGCTTCAGGAAGAAGCGCGACGTGTAACGATCGGACATGCCGTGGTCGGGATCGCGACTCTCGTTTAGCGTCTCGCCGAAAACGTCCCGGCAGAGTGCCACGCGGCCGCATACGAGAATCCTTGAGAGCTTGCGGAACTTGACGTCGGCCAGGCCTTCGCGGCCGAAGGCGAAGCTGCCTCGGTAGCCGATAGTAATGTATCCTGGTACGCGTTTGCCGACCGCACCGCCGGTTTGCCCGCCAGAATCGGCGTTCTCCAAAATGGCCTTCTCTAAACCAGGAAGACCGTAGAAATTAGCCTCCTGCTTGAGCCTCTCGCGTTCGCGAAAGCCCTCGGGCAAAACCAATGCTTGATTGCGCAGGAAGTCCAATACGTAACGGAAGAGCACACCATCGCGATCCAGGAAGTACTTGCCCTTGGCATCTTTCTCCACGGCGGATTTGCCCGTGAAGAGTGTCGCAAGATGCGAGTCGCTCTCACGGGTCAGCGTGGTCAAGGCAGTAGTATAGAAGACGCCGCCCACATTCAACTCCACCACGCTCGGCATTGTTTCCTGTTGCTCTTGGTCACCCATGCTGCTTCCGGTTAACGCGACGCAAGAAAGAGAGAGGAAGACTATGATCAATTGGTCGCGTGGACCGACGGGAACGAGTCGTCTTCACCGATGGGATGATCAGAGACGTTATGTGCGGAGGACACCTGTAGTTGGAAAATTTCCAGGAGGATTAAAGATAACAAAGAGGATCACGATACGGAACTGCACTCCGTTCAATGAAACTCTACGCGACACTCGCGCAAGACGACCACAGGTCGACGACCCAGCAGATCCCAGAGTCAATCGTGATACGTTAAAGAAAATAGCTCTCCGAGGATTTCAACAGACGAGGAGCAACAGACTGATTTTAAAAGTCACTCGTACGTATTCGCACGTGAGAACACCTTTGGCGATGCTCTTTGAAAAGACAAGCTGATCGAATCCTGGTCACCTTAGAAGCACGTCGTTATTCGAAGCCGACTTGAGCACGATGTTGATACTCGTCCAACTGCTACTTGCTCGAAGAAATGAACGCGACGGTGAAGAGGGATAAACTGCGCCTACGGCGGAGCGATGACGAAGGCCGAGCTCAGCTCTCTCAGCTGCGCGCTTCCTCACCTAAGCGGTTGGCGCGCGTCAGGACGCACTCTCCGCTCGCTCCTCCGTGTCGCGAGGGTAACGTGATGGTAATGCTGCGCTGCCGACGCAACGAGAGCCCGCGCCGTGTGTCAACGCGCAGCCACCGATATCGCGCAACACAATCCCCTCGACACGCGCGCGCAACCCCTGAGAAGTCGCCACTCGATTCTCATCCTTGAAAGAGGCTACGTGTCGTGATAAGAGTTTTTCTAGGTTGTACTTACATCCAAGCCTATCCTGGGAAACTGCACTCCATTCCGTTTTCTGCGACTCTCTCCAACGACGGCGACTTATCCCAGCATATTCCATCGGATTCCGCTGCAATCCAGATTATTCCGATCCATATCCTGCTTTGCATGTTCTGATGCGTCTCAAATGGATTGGACCTAATAATCAAATAACAGATTTCGTGATTCTAAATGTGTATTCCAGAAGAGAAATGTAAACTACAAATGTGATGGAATAGTTGGAGTGCATCTTTAAGATTAATTTTTAAGATTACCTATTGTTCGGGTTTCCACGGATCGATGCTTCGTTACATTGTAACATACAGTCGTTCTCTTATTGCATTGTATCTCTCATCCGATATCTCATCGTCGTCTATCTGCAAATATTGAATAGGTAGCAATGTCAATATACAATGCGATTAATATTGTCGTGTAGACAACTATACATTATTCACACAACTACGCATTTGTTTTATTCCGATTGCTACTCTTTATTATTAAAAACACAATATTGATGAATTGAATTAAATAACATAGCTTTGTCATATAAACACAGAGAAGGATGTTTCTTATTTAATGGTGATTATAAAAAAAATCTGATTTTATATCTTTTTATAAGTAAAAGAGAAAAAAGTTGGTTTGTTTTTAGAAAAAATGTAGCTTAGAGCAAACAGACCAAATACATTATAATATGAATCAATAACTACAGATAATCCGTGCAATAATTACATTTTCTTTATTTCATAATTATTTAACTTTCACAAAATAGATTAGATTATATTTAATTGTATTGTGTTAGCTAAGTTTAAACTCTACATTAAATTTTTATATTATTTTTTAATATATCATTTTGATTATTATTAATATATCATTTTGATTATTATATGGTATAAGAAAAATGTAAGAAAAAATAATAAAAAGAAAAAAATATATAAACAGCAAATTAAAAAAATAGCTGATCTTCTTAGAAAAATTTCAATGATGATGTTAAGACTTTAAACATCAACACATTTACATTTTTCTAACAAAAAATATATATTTTACAAGCTAAAATATTTCCAAAACTAATTGTAAGTGCAATAATTTATAAATTACAAAGTATTTTTTTAAATTAAAAAGTCTTTTTCTTTCAATATATTTATTCATTTATATGTATATTCTTGTTATTCTCAAGAATTTTTATTAAAAAATTATATTTGATTTTTCATCAAATTGTAATTTTTTCTTGTAACTGCATTTATCTTTATCTTAAATAATATTTTAAACAAGGAAATAAACGGATAAGAAACTTTGAAAAAATGCATATACTAAAATTGTATGATACAAAACATAAATCTTTATAAAATTCCCTCGGGATATCTTCCTTTATTGCGCAATATCGTAACATTTTCTCTTGTAAAAAAAGTACATTTTCTTGAAAGGTATGTGAGCATATGTATATCACAAGATGGTATAAATCTTTACGAGAAAACACATTATATCACGTTTAAAGATATCTATAATATTATACTATCGCCGTAAGATCAAATTTTAAAATGAAAAATGAAATGAATCATTAAATCTTTTCAAAATAAAGAAAATTTTTTTATGAGAACCAATATAATATTCATCACATACACACACATAGCTCGATCCCTTCTTGAATCCATTCGAAGCCATACAGTAACCATTCAGTAAATGAAATCAATTATCGAAAAGCAATATTGTTCAACAACTATATCTATCGCAAATTATCGATTGTAAAATCGAAATTGAAAAAAAGCATTAAAGAAAGGTAATAAAATCAGAGTAGATATAAACTTACATTACACTCCATGTCACGACGTCGATGTATGTCTTTACGTACGAAATTAGGCACTTTCGGGTCGAAAGCATCATGTTTAGATATCGTATATCGTACGTACATGCATTCGTCGTAGTGCATCATGTCTGTATATGTGTATCATGTCTCAAAACTGTACATATTACCTGTGGCAAGTTCAGAACTATATATTTGATGATTGTAAAGAATTATAAACATATAAAACATTTAAGAATAAAAAAGTTTATATACAATACCAATTTTAAATTATGATATTATTGAGACAATTAGTTTCTCCATCCACATAAAATAACGCGCAAGAATCGCGCAAGCGCCATGACGATGTCTGATGGAGAAGTTTTTCCCACTACTCGCGGTCGCTCTGACCACGTGACTGCCTCTTCACAGACTCGTGCCAATATAAGAAGTTTCTAGGGATCCACATAGGTTTTTAAAATGCATACTTTCTTATAGCGTTTTCGGACGTAGCAGGTTTAATCGCTTTTATAGTGATTAATGACGTCATTGCATCGTCTCTGCCAATAAAAGGCTTGAATTCATAGTAAAATATAATGATTAATTGAATCGGGTTGGATTAACCCGTTCGTCCGAAAACGCTATTATATTAACGATATATAAAATACTATAGTACTATATTTGGTATTTACTATATTGCAGTATATGAATGTTGTAGTTTATAATATTAATAGAATTTATTAATTTTTTAGAAAATATTTTCTTTCCTACAATATGTGGGCCTAAGGATACCATTTATCTCCATAAGATATGTATGCTGCTGAGAGTCACCTGACTCTTACTCACTATCGCGCATGTGCAGTAGAATCCCTCCGTCTGACGTCACTGCTGCGTCATGTCTTCTGGCATCATTGCTGACAGCCAATCACTGGCGCACGTTGGCCAGTCGAGCTCGGTCGTTGCATCGAGTCGGATGGCGTGCGATGGCTGATAATTCGGGATCGTCACATCTGTCAATTACACGCTACGCCCTGGTACGTGATACTTAACGCTTAACCTCACGTTCAACGCTGTCTGACGTGGATCGTAATATTATTCTCTTACGCATTGCTGCACAGATCTACGTATGTGAACAGCTAGATGTCTCATCGCCAGTCGGAGAGTGGGACGACGACGACTCTGCGGGATAGGAGGCTGCTCGTTTCTCATTTGTTGACGCATTTTACCTGAGCTCGCTTATCGACTCGTTAAATCAGAATCTTGAAGAATGGAGGAAAGTCCAACGAAAGTACGCAAGAGAGTCCAGCACGAGGACACCACAGTGGGAAACAATCTACAGAATCGCACCTGGAGCCACGGCGATGAAAGCGAGGACGAGATCGCGAGCGAGAACGCGTTGCTGAACGAAGTCGACGAACCGAGGTTTGTGCATAAAGCGAGCGCGCTTATCGAGATTATTCGCCAAGATTATGTGTACGCATAATTATCGCGAGAACCGTTAAATCACGTCGATAATTAAGCGAATCGCGCGTGTCTCTATGTGGCATATTCTTGATGTCGTTACGTTTCTTTGTTGTGGTTCGACCAAGTGGACTCTGCTCGCTCACATTAAAATATATTGATAGCATTGTGCTCGACTTGTTTCAATATAAACTACGTTCTGATAATCAGTTGACAGTAACGGTGCTTGATAGATAGCGTGTTGTTGAAAAATTCAAAAAAGATTATCTGTTTTGTAACGTAATTGAACGAAAATGTAAAGATCATTAATTTTATATAATTATCTCAACAAAAATATAAATAAATTTTTAATTTCATATAATTAATATATATATATTTTTTTATTATTTATATATTTTGATTATTATAATGGAATTTTACTTGTGATCCAAAATAATTAAATGCTAATATCATATTAAAAAGAATTCCATAATATAAAATAATATAGATAATACTATCTATTGTATTGCATTATAGGCAAAGTCATTCTACTCCAATGGAATGCAAAACTTGCCCGATCACGACATTGGCGGAGGAGAAGATGCGTCGCAAACTGCGGTTCTTCTTTATGAATCCAATTGAGAAGTGGCAGGCGAAACGGCGTTTCCCATACAAATTTGTCGTTCAAGTCGTTAAGATAATCCTTGTGACTATGCAGCTTTGTTTATTTGCACATAGCAATTACATGCACGTGAATTATACTTGGGACAATCGAATCACATTCTCCCATCTCTTTTTAATGGGATGGGATTCTACTCAAGAGGTATATAATCGCATACTTTACTCACATATCTGTGAATCTAAATGATATTTTTGTTGCTCGATGCTATAAAAATGGTATAATGAAAATAGCATACAAATTATATTTTAATTGTACAGCATGCTTTAAGCAATCTTAAGTAAAAGTAATTATTAAATAATTACTGCATTGCCTCTGCTTGCAGCTCTGACCACTTTACTTCTTAGCCTCTCGATAACGATTAGATATTATTATTACTGCTACTGCAATTGTAATATAATGAGAAATATATATAAATTCTATACTTTAATCACTATTTCTCATGCTATGAATGATGTCATTTTGAATAACGTTTCAGGTACCTGCATATCCACCCGCGACGGGACCGTTGGCCATCTACAAACGAAGCAATTTTTATGATGCCATTGATTACGCTCTGCATGGCTTCTACAACGTCGACGATGCCATTGGTTCGTACTCATATATCGCCGAGGACAATTCTGTCGGGCCTGTAGTTCTATGTCTTTACCAGTACAAGGAAGGCACTATATTTGGCTTCAACGAGAGTTATGTGTTCGACAGCGAGATTGTAAAAACTTGTGTAAACATCAGTCTCGAAGTATTCGATACATTTAAATCGTCGCACAATTTTCTGCGGGATAGAAACATAAATATTAAGTTCTCCGCGCTGGTACGCGCCCATCTCAAGTTTGCTCTAAAGACGGTAAACCTAAAAGCGGCCGGACCGATGACACCGCCCGATTGTTATCGTTTCAACATCAAAATCGACTTTGATAATCGCGATTTCGATGGACAGATGCTGCTCTCGTTAGACGCCGAGGCCAGGAAATTACAATGCAAGGGTGACACCCGCTATATCACGGATAATCGCATCGAATCGGCGCTGAGGACTCTGTTAAATTTGCTTGTCATACTAATCTGCGCGATTTCCTTGCTGTTGTGCTCGCGAGCAATATATAGGGCACAGATGCTGAAGTTCGAGACGATCAATTTTTTCAAGAAGACGTATGGTATGGCGCTGAGCCTCGAAGGCCGACTAGAATTTTTAAATTTCTGGTACATTATGATCATCGTCAATGATTTATTGATCATTATTGGCACCATCATAAAGGAGCAAATTGAACGGAAACATTCCGAGAGCGATCATTGGAATATCTGCAGCATATTTCTCGGCACCGGCAATTTGCTGGTGTGGTTTGGCGTGTTACGCTATCTCGGCTTCTTCAAGACGTACAATGTCGTTATCTTGACTCTGAAAAAAGCGACGCCGAAGGTGGCAAGATTCCTTATATGCGCCATCCTCATTTATGCCGGTTTCACATTTTGTGGCTGGCTGGTGCTCGGTCCGTATAATATGAAATTTCGTTCTCTTGCGACCACTTCTGAGTGCTTATTCGCGTTGATCAACGGTGATGATATGTTTGCCACGTTTTCCATCACGTCTTCCAAATCGTCAGCAATACTATGGTGGTTTTCTAGAATCTATTTATACTCGTTCATTTCGTTGTACATTTATGTCGTCTTAAGTCTTTTCATTTCTGTGATAATGGATGCGTACGATACGATCAAGATCTATTATCGCGAGGGTTTCCCAAGGAACGATTTGCAGACGTTTATAGCTCCGTGCACGGAAGAAGCGTCGAGCGGTATCTTCAGGGATGACTCCGAGAGTAGCGATCTAACAGAGTTGCTCGATCGATTCTGTTGTTGTCGAAAAAGGCCCTTTTACGGATCCTTTTCGGAATCGGTCGCAGATCCCTCGACCAAGTCCGAACAAATGTACGGTGGAGGCATCTGCATCTAGTGCATTAATGGAAAGTACTTGGAGATGTTATGGTGCAACTATAGATACGCGGTACGACACTAGGACGGTTACATCAACGTCCTTGGTTTAATAATCTCTTGATTGACAATTTATTTTTTCTTTCTAAAGAAAGAAAAGTTATATGTAATATGATTTCATAGCTATACACGATTATTCGTCTTTCTTTAACTCGCATAAGAAATTATGTTTCTAGTGAAAATTATAAATATATTTTTAAAAAAACTTTTTTAAGCAAAAAGATGACCAATTATTTTATAACTAATTAAGTATGCTAAAAATAAAGTAATTTCTATATTGCTAATATAATTCCGATTCTTATGATAAAAAAAAAACAGATTACCAAATAACAATTTGAGAGAAATCAGCTCTAATTGATTGGTACAATCAAATATGTAGACAAAGTATTTTTACTAACGTTGATTTTGTAGCAAGTACTGCATGCACTGCACGTATTATCGCGATATATTTCTGTTATTGCCATCTAAGTTTAGTCCCAATGTAACATTTGAGAAAAATCTTTATTTTATTACATACAAAATGTATAGATTTCTCTTTTATTTTAATTCTTATAATACATATAAAATAATTGATTGCAACAGAAAACGCAACATTTAAGCGATTTTCTACTGAACGCCTCCTAGTAATCCCTAAACTTCCAGCATATTAGTTAAATAGATACCAATTTTTTCAATGTATAATAATCCATTCATATATCATAGGCGTAACGCGCGCGTGCTGCAAAGTAGTAAACAAACGTGACAAGAAAAACGCACTCAACAGAAAGCTTTAAACTGTTGGCAGAGTAACACTAATAAAACGCTAATATAAGAGTTCTGCTGAACATGACCACTGTTTTATCAATCTGCTAAAAATTTAAGTACAGTATTTCATTTTAACAATCACATATATGTGTATCACGCAACGTACATTTGTGTCTATTGTAACACATGCTATAGATTTATTATTGTACTTTATAACTGTAATATATCTTTCTGACACTTTAAAAAATTATAAAGAATGTATATATAACATAAATACACTGCTTTTATGATAAGTACACAATATATAATATTACATATAGGAAAGTAAAGTGATTAGAAACCTCGTACAAGTGTTGCAGCTTCATTTTGTTACATAAAGCACAATGCAGTGTTATATATACCAAAGTTATTATATAAAAAAATATGTATAATATATAATTTAAGCAAAAAAAATCTGGATTGATTGAACTATAATGTATTATACTGAATCAGAGAGAGAGAGAGAGGCAACATAAAATTGATCATATAATTAATAATCAAATAATGTGAATTATTCACGTAATAATGAACTACATGATTATAATACTCATAATTCTCTCTTATATATGATGTATGTTGTATTATATTGAAGAGCATATAATCTTTGTATCGAGAGAGTGGATCTTATATATTTGCGCTTGTACATATATAGACCGGGTTCATAGGACAAACCCGCACAAAAACACAGAGAGAGAAAGAGAGAGAGTATTATATATCCAAAGAAATATATCTATATATTTACATTGAAGTACAATAAAAACGTCTTACATTTTTCTAATTCTTCTAACTGTACCTCATTTGCATTTATATATCTTTAAATGTAATTAAAAGAAAAACATTTAATTTTAAATGTTTAAATGAGAAATATTGTGCCATTGAATATTATATTAATAAATATATAACTGTTTTGTAATTATTTTTTAGTCTTTTTGATAGAAGCCTTGAGAGGGGGAGGGAATCCTTGACGGTCTAATATTTTATTTTTCAATGCGCAAAGCCTATAGGCTACATATATAACGCCCCCAATAGTAAACAATCCTGTATTCCTTCAATACATACTTTGTTTTAATACAAATGATATCAATAATAGCATACATGCATTATAATGAGATTTATTGCGTTTTCGAATGAAGTAGGTTTGATCAACCCAAGGTTGATTAATGACGTCATTGCATCGTTTCTGCGAATAAAAGACTTGAATTCATAATAAATTGATCCGGGATGGATTAAAACCCGTTCATTCGGAAACGCTATTAGAGAAAGGAGAGGAATAGTTAAAAAGAGGGAGTTAACGCGAATAAAGGATCGTGCACCTTCGTGCGTTCTCGTATCAAAGTTGGCGGCTGGCGACTGTGTACTCGGCTCTTTGTTTATTTTCGAGCGATGTACGGGCGTCGCATATCGTATAGCGAGCGATCTCAATTGACAGCTGCTGAGCGACTAGTACCAGCGTAGTGCATTAGTAGGTAGTAGTAGTAGCAGCTGGCAATTAGTATTATCGGTCAGTGTCGAGTGCGCTGATCCGTGGGATGAAATAGCAGATGGTCATTGACCGCGACTTAGGACGATCTATTGTTTACACATCAACTCGACGTATCCTGAAAGACGGCGTCCCGTCTCCTCGTTGGTGGGTTCCTTCCGATCGTCGTCGTTCTCGCGACGATAAGCGATTGCGGATGAAAATGTCATCGTCGAAAGTAGCGGGAAACTCTCCCGCAAAAATCACGAACAATAAAGGCGAGCAACAGGAATTTCCGCTGGGCCTTGATAAGGACGCCAGCGAACATAGCATCTCCAGTATGATGTCGTGCGTGTCCATTTCGCCGAAGCATGCAGAGAGCAGCCTCCGAGTGATGGAAAGTTATTTGCACAGGCAACAGCTGACAGACGTTACGTTGATCGCAGGTGAGCGGACCGGGCCGGATGCTTTGTTTGATAACAGAGTGGATATCGTGTATATATCTGTGTCGATACGCGTAAACTGTCAACTGCTAAGATCATTCATATGATAATAGTTAATAACGAAATATGTATCTCCATTAATAGATAAGAAATATTATTATATTATCCATACTTTAACTTTTTAAAGATTTATTTTTTTTCAAGAATCAAAACTTATTTTATTATTAATAAATATATAATTATTATTAAAAATTGTTAATAATTTGGAATTATTGTTGATTTATTATATTGTTGTTTATTTGGAGCTATTGTTAATAATTTATTGTGGCTATTGTTCTAAGTTTCTAACTAATAGTTGGAAATAAAGTATATTCTATGTGAAAATATTCTTGCATTTTATATTTGAAAGTATATTCAACATGTAATTTGAAATATTTATTTAAAATATTAATACTTTTATATTTTCTAATTTGTACATTTTCTATAGGAAATAAGCGCGTCCCGGCCCATCGATTAGTACTAAGTGCTGGTTCAGAATATTTTGCTGCCATGTTCACAAGCTCTCTACGAGAGTCGGCACAAAATGAAATAGAATTAATGGATGTAGATGGAGATGCATTATGGGCTTTGGTTCTTTATTGTTATACGGGTAATTCTATTTGAAATACATTTGATCTAAAAGAACATTTTTTAGGAATATTAATAAATTAATATTATATTGAAAAAAGACAAAAATACATTTAAGAGCTATAATTTTTTACGCCATTTTCACTAAAGTTAATAATTCCTCATAATATATGTTTTATGTCTATATGCAGGCTGCATAGAATTACAGGAAGATAGTGTAGAGACCCTTCTTGCAACCGCATGCCTATTACAATTAAATCCAGTTATTAAAGCATGCTGTCAATTTCTCGTCAAACAGCTTCATCCAAGTAATTGCCTCGGTATACGGATGTTTGCCGATACGCAGGGTTGTACAGAATTATTTGAACATGCACATGCGTATACTACCAAACATTTCATGGAAGTTACAAGAAATCAAGAATTTTTACTCTTATCTGCCAACGAAGTTGCAAAATTACTTGAATCCGAGGATCTTAATGTTCCTTCAGAAGAAACTATCTTTCATGTAAGATTGGCTATAAGCATTATATAAACTACTTATAATGTAAATATTATAAATTGCAAAACACAAATAATCCATTAAGAAAACGAGTAAACTTTGAAACTTTGTGTGAAATATTAAAAAATATATAATTATAATGTATGTATGCTTTTTTATACATATATTAACATAGAGATATTTTTTGAATTATAAGTAAATATTTCACATATGTAATCAAAATATATAAGCTCAATGTACAGAGTAACACAACTATTATTACTATCACAATGTTATTTCAGGCCCTTATGATTTGGCTGGAACATGATCCAGAAAACAGGAGCAAAGATGCCAGCAAATTATTAAGTTTAGTAAAATTACCATTGTTATCACCTGCGGTAAGTTTATCAACAGCTTGACCCTTTTGCTCAGCGAAACTATAATATAGATCAACTAATAAATTAAAACAGTTTATAGCTGACAATATTGAGAGCAATGAAATGTTCAAAGACCAAAGAATGGCACAGGAATTAGTAATGGAAGCATTGAAATATCATCTGTTACCTGAACGAAGACCTCTGCTTCAATCAGGAAGAACGAAACCGAGAAAAGCTACTGTGGGTACATTGTTAGCTGTCGGAGGAATGGATGCTAATAAAGGTAATTCATTATATACAAAATTATTTATAATATCAATTACGATTAAAGTAAATGCAGTGATATAATATCAATATTATTATATATTTCATGCTATTTTAATTTTTGACAAAGTAATAAAAACGACACAACTTTCAGGTGCTACATCCATAGATGCATTTTCATTACGCGATAACGCTTGGAGATCTCTAGCTGCTATGAGTGGCAGAAGATTGCAATTCGGCGCCGTAGTAGTCGATAAGAAATTGATCGTTGCGGGCGGTAGAGACGGTTTAAAAACGCTGAACACGGTAGAATGCTTTGATTTCTCTACTCATATCTGGAGTACATTACCACCCATGAATGTGCATCGTCATGGCTTAGGTATACATCGATGCGAGAAAATTTGCGAAATTGATACGCGTGATTCATTTATTTCATGATAACTTGGCAAATAATATTTCTTGTACAGGAGTGGCAGTCTTAGGTGGGCCCTTGTATGCTGTTGGCGGTCACGATGGTTGGAGTTTTCTTGATACAGTGGAGAGATGGGATCCAGCAACGCGTCAATGGAGTTCAATATGCCCTATGTCCATACAAAGATCTACGGTCGGTGTAGCTGTGTTAAATGATAAGTAAGTTATGATATATGGATGAATTATTAACCTTTAGAAACAAAGTGGAAAAATTCTTTTATAAAAAATTTTCAGATATATGTCAAAATGATATTTTAGAAAGAAATTGAGACCACACAGTCTAGAACCGAAAAATCGGTTACCGGTTTCTAAAAATTAATTTTACTATTACGTTCATTATTCAATGCAAATTTTCATACAAATAATTATTTAAATTCAAAAAATCTTTAATATTATATTTTTAAAATAAATTCTTATAAAATGCAGTTTTTAAACTTATGACATTTTGACAGATTATACGCTGTAGGAGGAAGAGATATCAGTTCCTGTTTAAATACTGTAGAATGCTACGATCCACATACTAATAAGTGGACACCATGTGCGCCCATGTCGAAGAGACGAGGCGGTGTAGGCGTGGGAGTAGTAAATGGTTGTCTTTACGCGCTTGGTGGTCACGATGCTCCAGCCAGTAATCCTAACGCTAGCAGATTCGACTGTGTAGAGAGGTGAGAAATACTATTACATTGTATAATAAATATATTCGAAGTTTTTCAAGTTGTACATAATGGAACGTGACATTAGGTATGATCCTAAAACCGATACATGGACAATGGTTGCACCAATGAGTGTACCCCGAGATGCGGTCGGTGTGTGCGTGCTAGGTGACCGACTTATAGCTGTGGGAGGATACGACGGTCAGCAATATCTCACGCTGGTAGAAGCCTATGATCCACATCTCAATGAATGGGAATCCGTAAGTGTTTAAACTATTCTTATAATTGAATAAAAATATAATTTTAAATGTATACTTCAAATATTGTGAAATATAAACATGTTCATATATTTAAAGGTTGCTCCTCTCAAAGCTGGCCGCGCGGGACCCTGTGTTATTGTCAAAAATTTAGCTACCGGCATTTAAATCATTCTTAGCACCAATAAGACTTATTTCTATATGATTCTACATTCATAATTAGATGTAAATTAGGCGTTTCAGAAATATAATACAATATGCTCTCTCTTGTGATATTACATGTACATGTTAAATTAATTGCGGTGTTATTTTTCTGAAACGGTTTTAAACGATTACATTTCTTCTTATCATCCCCCTCCCCCCGCACACAGAATGCGATAGGTAATGCTTGCCGCGCGGCAAAAGACGGTAGCCAATCAATTTTTCGTTCTAATGGAAAAGTTGATTAGCTGCCGCGCGGCAAGTGTTTCCGCATAATATTGTGAAATATAAACATGTTCATATATTTAAAGGTTGCTCCTCTCAAAGCTGGCCGCGCGGGACCCTGTGTTATTGTCAAAAATTTAGCTACCGGCATTTAAATCATTCTTAGCACCAATAAGACTTATTTCTATATGATTCTACATTCATAATTAGATGTAAATTAGGCGTTTCAGAAATATAATACAATATGCTCTCTCTTGTGATATTACATGTACATGTTAAATTAATTGCGGTGTTATTTTTCTGAAACGGTTTTAAACGATTACATTTCTTCTTATCATCCCCCTCCCCCCGCACACAGAATGCGATAGGTAATGCTTGCCGCGCGGCAAAAGACGGTAGCCAATCAATTTTTCGTTCTAATGGAAAAGTTGATTAGCTGCCTCGCGTCAAGCTTTTGCCGCGCGGCAAGTGTTTCCGCATCCTATGTGCGGGAGTTATTAGTATATAAACAACTTTTATAGGATTTTTACACATTTTTGTATTATTATACTGTATTAAGGAATTTCCAATCATTGTAACTGCCATACATTTATTTCAGCGCTTATTTACGATGTTGTACATACTGCGATTTTATATAAATCTTTAATGTAATAATGGTTTGCTAATGACAATGGTTGTAATGTAATTCGTATCTATTATAATCTAAAAATAAGGCGTTTTTTTTTTAATAAAATATATATGAACTATTCTCTCTTAGAGAATATAACAGGTAATACTGCTTTTATAAATATCTTGAAATTGTTCCAAGATGTATGATAAATTAATGTGATTAATTTTTGTTATAAATGAGTGATATAAAATAAGTGTTGAGAGAGAAACTGAAAAATAAGTATTATAGATATAGATACTTCAAATAACGTCTATATATTAAATTACATTAATTACTTCATAAAGATTAAAATTTGACAAGTTTAAACTTTGACAAAAGAAGAAAATTTATATATATAAGAACCATTTTATTTTTCTCATCAAGCTTTATTTACACATGTATGATGTACATTTCTATATTTGGTGGTTATAACTTCTCTTGAAATAAATAAAAGCGTCATATCAATTAATTAAAACAAAAAACCCTTCACATCATTTAATAAGTTCACATTACAATAGTCTTTCAATTATTTTCTTAACAAGCCGAGAAAGTCCTAAAAAAAACAATCATAATAACAAATTACACATCTTTCATAAATCATAAATAAAAATTTTAAAATTTATTGGAAATCTAGAAAATGTTCGTTTTATCTCTTTCCAAAAACAGTCTTACAAAAAATATCTATGATTAAATTCTAAATACGGAAGGTAAAAAGTACATTTTGGCTTACCGTGGAAAATCCGAGGTTGGCTCTACAAACTTATGTCTGACCATAAATGTAGCGATAGCTTCCGCTACTTTATCCGGAACGTCTTCGTGAACGGCATGCCCACATGCGGGTAATACTTGCATTTGGAATTTACCTATTTTTTTCATAAATAATTTTATTATAAGATATTAAATACCCATGTTGTAACAGACATATAGTTTTCAAAATAATATACCTTGCATTTGCCCCACAGTAAGTTCACGATCTAATCTATCAACTCCTGCTAACAACAACATTTTTGGAACTGAGATGTCCAAGAATGCCGTTGATAATCCTTTAAACCAGCCAAACCAATGCTGTTCCGTCTTTGCCAAATCTATTCTCCACACATATTTTCTGTTAGCAGAGATAGCAGAAGACGTAGATGCTGATGGTGGTGGCATACTGAATGACTCTTCCTCTTGGATAATATCATCTCGTGGTAAAACTGGTTCTGGATTAGATTCACATGTATTGTATTCAGTTGGCAATGAGTCAATATCATGAGTTGCTAATTTGCCAGTTTCAATGCTGAAATGACACATGTGTTGCACATAACTCGATTTATTTTAATATAAAGATATTAGAAAAGCCTAAATATTTTTAAGAATTCACTAACTTCTTTATCTGTCCAGGAACTGAAACCTTAGCGGATTGTATATTACGAATTTTTCCACTACGAATGCTGAAAAATGATCAATTAAAAGATTGCTTAATTTTATTTGAAAACTTCACTTTATAAGTAAACAAAGCTGTATAAATTAACAGTTACGCTACTAGTCATTTTCAAAGAACAAGTTGAATCATTTATGGAACATACTTGTCATAATACAATGATTAATACATTAAAAATATATTGAATACTAACCACCATTCTATAGCTTGAGATATAGTGTTAAAACTAGATGGCCGTGATCTTAAGAAACTTTGCATAGAAGCTAATGCATCCATTGCTGTACCCTCTACAACATCTATAACTCCTAATCCATATAAATTTGGAATTAATGGAGCTGCTTTCACAGCTACTGCTCCACCCATGCTGTGACCGACCAGAATTATTGGAGTATCATGTGCAATTGCATCTATAATAGCTGCAACATCTCTACATAAAAAGATAAGTAATTTGTTAAAAATAGGAAAGATTTCTTAAAATCATATGTAGAATGGCTTACAAGAAAATATTGATATAACATATAACATTTATAAAATAAATAAAATTTGTTAATACCATGCTTTGTATAATTTCAAATTGTAGGTACATACAATCTCATAGTTCTTTTTGCATTCATATTGAAGAATTTTTAACAAGGTTCAATCATATAATTATTCTTTTTCTTGCGCAAAAAATACAAACATATAAAAAGTCTATATACTTAAAACAAATATAGTACATTTACTTACGATGCTAAAGTATCTGCGGACAAATCCTCATCATCTGTAGTGTAAGTATCTCCATGACCTCTAAGATCAATAGCCATGACTCTACACAATACCATTGTCATAATCGATTTCTAAAATTCATACCGTGATTAATTTTTTCTTTTTACGTGTAATTAAAATTTTTGCAAATGATGCCTACTGTAAGTTCTGCCCATGTTAAACCACTGTAGCCACCACCATGTAATAAAACTAATAATGGCCCTTCAGTGCCTTTGATGTAAACATGAAATGTATTCTGTCCTATTGGCACATCCTTGGAATGATCGAAGTACGGATTCCACTGCACCGGATCGTAGTCTCTCTTTCGTTGGCATCTCGATTTATTAATTCTAAAAAAGAAGACATATTCTTGTATGATTTTGTAGCAATCAGAAATATAATTCACTCCATCTTTCAACTAATCAATTTTGCTTGCACACAATTTCGCAGATAGCTATACAAACCTGGAATTTAATGCCGAAAAATTGACAGTCGACGGTGGTAACCTGGATTTCAAAATTGACTTTTGAAGAGCAGACATGTTGATGTATCGTAAACGTCAGTGGCACCGTATCGGAAACGTTGCTTAGAATTTATGTTTGTAGCCACACATGCGCAAAAAAAAAAATACTCCGCAGGATATAATTATGCGTACCGAAATGGCGGAGAAAAAAAAGCGCGAGAAATATATATGATATTAACAAAACCACCGGCCGAAAGATTGTCAAGAATGCGAGACTCGCACACATCCAATACTATGCACTGTCATATACATCGACGTGATGAACCTCAAATGGCGTATCAGGCATATGCGTATGTACACCATCGACGAGTATTGTAACCTCGTCGGTATGTACGGTGAACAGATGTTTTCCTTTTACTATGGCCGTGTTCCAAAATTCACTGCCAGTACTGGAAATCTATAATATACGTTATGTGAACTGTAGATTTCCAGTATTGGCAGTGAATTTTGGAACACAGCCTAATATATATATTGCGCTTGATTCTTTGATATCTAGCAACAACAGTGCGAAAAGGGGAAAGCTGTTAAAGAAAAACAGCTAATTTAGAATTAAGAAATGATGGAATAAAAAAAAACTATGCATATATCGAAATAAGAGAAACAACTTGGTATATAATCAATCACATTCGTTACTTTCCCTTCCTCCTACCTTCCATATTCCATTTGAAAATATTAATATATATCTTTTATATACATATAATAATAATATATTAATATAATTCCATTTGAAA